TCTCTTTCTAAGTGCGAGGACGAAGATGGCACCCTCTGCCCTTGCACGGGTAGGATTGGTCCCTGCCGAACATGAACTTTAAATCCATGTTGATCCACGTGAACTTGACAGACCACGTCGCATTCTTGAGAAGAAACACGAGGGCCGCGTTTAGATTTTTAAACGTTAGGCCGAGACCGGCTTGATGACTGGATCGAGCGGATGGAGACGTATTTTACTCTTTATGGCTATTCGTCGAAAGAGAAGATTGTGTTCGCGACTTTGAAGCTTTCAGGGCACGCGTTGACGTGGTGGAAATCCTACTGCAAGCAGGAGAAGAAGGCGGTGTCGTGGAACAAGTTCAAGGAGCTACTTAGGAAGCAGTTCTACCCGGTGGGATTCCTTGAAGAACGTTGGTACAAGTGGTACGGCTTGCGCCAAAGGGTAAATCAAACCGTTCAAGAATACACTACGGAGTTCTAGCAGCAGGCGATGGTCCTAAACATTGCGACAGAGGAATATTCCGTATTTATGAAGTATATGGCGGGATTGAGCGATCACATCCGAAAGGAGATGAGGCTATTCACGGTGGAATCAATTGCAGAGGCGAGCGTGAAGGCAATTGCCATTGAGGGTAAACAAAAGAAGGGCAACGAGGCTAAGGAAGACTCCAAACAGACGGGAGGCGAGTCTAGTGATTCTCAATCTAAAGAGGAGAAGAAGAAGGGTGATCCAGGGAAGATAGGGCTGATTTGTAGTCACTGTGAGAAGACAGGATTTTATATCCGAGGTATTGGTGCAGAAGCTAGGTCTGAAGACGGTCAAGCATCCGAAGCCCTATCCATTGGGGTGGATTCAGAAGGAGGAGAAACTGAGTGTAGTTGATCAATGCACTGTCAGATTTGCGCTCCACGAGTCGTATATTGACGAGGTCACATGCGATGTCGTTCCATTGGATGTTTGTCAGATTATACTGGGTAATCCGTACTTATGGGATAGATATGCGATCTACGAGAGGCGGGCTCAGAAGTACACCTTCACTAAGGATGGTGTAAAGTTCATATTTCGTTCGGCATCTCTTCCGAAGGAGACAAGCTTGGGGACGGTGACGCGAGCGAAGAGACTAGTGAATGCAAGCAAGAAGTTTGTCTCGCTGTGCATTAGACTTCCAGAAAAGCCATCGACAAAGGATTGCAACTTAGAGCGAGCGGTGACTATGACGAGACGCGGGACGAATGAGTTGTTTCCGATCGGACGTCAAGACCGGATTCCTAGCAAGGCCAGGTGGTGCAGAAAAGATGGAGGAGCTCAAGAGTTTCCTCAGCTGAAGTTCTAACTTGAATGAGACTTCAAGTTCTTAAAGAGGGGACACATGATACATGTGTATCTTCTCTTCGGAACTTAGCGATCCTCATGGGAGCTTGAGGATAGATGATTCTCATACTAGCATGAGAATAGGGGGTGTCAAACAGTATAAGGGAACACAGGAGGAAGCGTGGAACAAGACGACGAGCAGAAGAATCGAAGTACCCAGTTTTCAGCCTGTGAGTCGACTCATTATAGTCATGAGTCGACTCATCAGGTTGAGTCGACTCATGACTGTCATGAGTCGACTCATCACTGGTTATTAAGATTTTTCCAGTTTCTGTCGAGTCGACTCATCTCAGTCATGAGTCGACTCATCGAGGGTTTCCTGGTTCGTTTGGGATTCTGTTCACACGAATTTCTGTTGGTTTTGGGTCTGGTTATTTACCAAACTGCCATCCACGTTTGTACACCTATATAAGGGATTGTTTTAGGGTTTCTAAACATCTTTTTAGGTCAGAGAGTTTAATCAAGAGAGATTAGATTCTAGATTGAGATTTGGAGAGCTTGTTCTTCAATTCTAGAGTGAGATTGTGAGGGAGAGATTGTAACATTTTGTTCTTCATAATCTAGAGAAGGTATTTTCCTTCGCCAAACTGAATTGTTCTTGTGTTTTGGTCGTCCTCTTCTCAACCCACCTTTTGGTAATTCCGCGACCAAAGGGTGCTCGCACGGCAACTCGTATCAAGGAGACTTAAGCAGATTCTACTACATAGTTATCACTATTTCATGAAGTTGATCTCCACCATTTTCTTTGCAAGATCACATATCCCCTTCAAATTAACAAACCTTGCATAAAGAAGAGGATCTATGGGTAGTAAGATAAGGTGTTAGGGTGGAGAACGCGGCGCTAGGGCCATTGGGATCGTGAGGAGGGGATATTTTGACAGTAGGTTGTTAGTTCTGAAATTGAATTACAGGGTGACTTTTAAGTTGTGTGGGTCCGATGGGAAGTAAGAGGTTTTGGATGGGGTCCTATGGTTTTGTTAGTGGAGTTGCCTCCTTTGTTAGCGGGCCGAGTTTTTAGATTGGTGAGTTTTAAGTGGGATGGGTTATTGTTCTTCTTTGACCAAAATGGGGTCATATGAACCCGCTTTGGTGTAAGTGGATCCGCCTCTGATAAAGGGTATCATAAAATCATAATTTCTAGAATTCTAACATCTACGTTTTGCTTTTGCAAGATGAATCTCACTTACATCTACTTGTTTATTTTCTGAAAATAAACTTGAAGTCTCACGTAAACTGCTTACCACCTTGCTCTATATGAGTTAGTGGTCTATCTCCAATAACTGCAGCTCTTTGTGTAGTACTGGTTACTCGTCTACCTTTACCATTTCCGTTTTCTATTTGAGCTTTGGTGCATCACCTATTGTGTCATGATTCGACACTGATGTTAATATATGTAATAAGTTTCTTACAGTTTCTTGGTCGTGAACGATGGTACAGACATTTAGTTTTTATGCATATGTCAACTATTGGGCAGGTGCAAGGTGCTGAGCATTAAGTGCTGTTGTAAAATATGAACTTGAAAAAACAAACAAAAGTGATCTTTTGATATCTATCTAATCATATATGTTTGTGTTTATTCTTTTTGAGTTACTCTCCTGGCAGAGTTAGCTTCTCATCTCACAAATAAGATCTTATGTATCAGTATCAGTAGTCTTCTCGCCCATCTGGTATTTCATACATTTTTTGAGTCCATTGTATTATTAAGATGTGTGAGTTTCTGGTTGCAGACTGAACAGAAGTTTTTTCTTTACAATACTATTATTATAGGCAAAGTTTTTTTTTTATTCAACATAGTCTATAGTTTTCCTTGTTCAGCATAGTCAATAATCACTACGGGATGTAGATACAGAAAAGGTGCATATAGATAGCACTTCTTTTTTCTTTTGTTCTTCAGTTTTAACTTATAATGTATCTCATCTTTATTTGGGGGATGTTTTAAAAAGCTAGCGCTTAGGCGCCTGCCTAGGCCTAGGCAGTACTAGGCTGTCTGCCTAGGTCCTGGGAGCGGCTAGCAAAGCATGGCCGCTTATGCGGACTGCATCGCTTAGTCTTGGTATTGATTTCCTCCGCTACAACCTCCATGTCTTCCAACCTCCTCCAAACTCCTCAGGCCTCCCTCACCAGCTATGAACACCTCCACTTCCTCCAACCTTCTGCAAAACCTCTTCCACCACTTAAACAAAGAAAAAAAAACAGCCTAGGCGCCAGTTCTGTGCCTAGTTGTGCCTAGCACTTTCTATAATATTAACATCTATTATCAATTGTTGTAATTAAAAATTAGAAAAATAGAAAAATTAGGCTCTAGGCGTTGGGTCCGGCGCCTAGGCCGCCTAGCGCTTTCTATAACCTTGCATTTGGGTCCATCCGTCAAAACTTGCATGATATGACCACTTTGTTGTAGTTTTTTCTGATTATTGAACTGTCAGATTATCGTGAAGATATTCATCAATGTTTTAACTGTAAAAGCGAAAGATGACACTAAAATGTCAAACATCCAAGCATATAGAAAAAAAAAATTGTGAAACAACAAGCATAAGCTTTAATGCATTTTCATTTTTCAAGATGAAAAATGAAAATTTATGTAAAATTGAATGCATCAATGGAAACATGTTGAAAATAGCAGAAAACAGTTGAAAAGTTCTTGATAGATGATGGCATATACAATGGTGTATCCAAGATTCCATGCATAAAGAGAACACAGTATTATGTTTTAGAATGATCAATAATGTATATTGTAATTTGGAGTTCTCTATTATGTAGCCTCATGATGAAAATTTCCTGAACATAAAGAGAAGAATTATTGTTGTCCATGTGTACTCACTACTCACTACTTAACCATGGTCCATTTGGTTTTCTGCGTTTCCTTTTCTGTTGATAAACCTTCACATAAATCCTTGACCAGCCATAGTTTTCTGCAGTTTCTACCACTGACATGCTAAACTGCGATAATGCTACCAGCTACACTTCTCTTTGTATATTCATATTAATCCAATAGCATTGCTACTTGTTAGTATCCTGATTACTGGACCCAATGACAACACCTGCCATATATATTTAGTGGCCTTTGTAAAACAGTTGAGTGCGGGTGCCACACTCAGCTCTATGTATGTGCATTGCTAGGTGTGGTCTAATTCATCAAGAAATAGGGTAAGAGAGGGATCAGATATGTATTTAAAAGTTGTAGTTTGTGATGCTGTTTATTCAAGGAATGAGGAGAAGGATTACTTCATGTGAAGGTGGGAAGTCAAGGAGATGAGAAACAAAAAAGTCATAGCTTGGGCTTATTAAAAGACACAATTGAAGATTTGAAGGAGATTAATCAAGCACTTGACAGATACTCTGAGAAAGAAAGAGGAGGGACTGTTCCTTTCTCTAAAGTTTATGCTTTATAATTGAATTTTAAGGTTGAAAGCACAGGTGTCATGCCAAAAGCTTAAGGTTTAAAAATATTAGGGATATTACCATCTAAGCTACACTTAAACATCCACTAGTAGGGTTTGAAGTTTACCAGAATATTTACAACATTGATTCTCTCGAGGTTGTACTTTATTAAAAGTTGTTAACACGAAGTCGCTTTGCTTTTATTTGTTTGTTGTTTAGAACTGTTATGCTATTATTATGGCCTGATTGTCTCTTACACTTTACAGCAAGAGAGGCTGGAAAGAGAAATGAAGATCAAGCAGATGAGGGAAGAACTAATTGCTGAAGCAAAGGAAAGGGATTCCCTTGCGTAAATGTTCTCTGTCATTGTCCTTTTTAAGACGTCTTTATTTTTCTTTCTTCTGAAGCTTTCTGTATGATGATTATGTGATGTTGTCCCAGAGATATGATTGTTGGTTATGATCGAGTGCTCCTAATAAGCTTGAACAAGATTTTTGTGACTTATTATTTGTTGCTCTGCTTTATTGGATTCAAATTAATATGCTTGCACTGGAAATGTTGAAAGTATATTCGAGAATTATCCAATCCTTTTTCCTGGTTTTCTTATTGTTACTATTTATAATAGTACTCAGTACCGATGCTCTTATAGTCAGTTCCATGAAATGACTGGTCCATGTTCTCATAATAGCAAAAGCATTTAGATATAACTTTTATGTTGCGACTATGTAGGCCCGCATGACAGTTTTAGCTGAAAATGCAAATGTTCCAAGTAATTACATACTTCTAGAATGTTGTTATAGACTTTAGTGCGTTTTTCATTAAGTTGTTTTCTATGCAATTACCCGTGTTATTTTTCCCTTTATCTTTCTCTTCAACATGGTGTGTGTATATTGTTTCTTTGTGGATCTTATGCACCCATTACAGTAATTTATGGAGATTGATTATGGTGCAAGCTTCTAGCTGCTACATTTTTTTCCCCCAATCCACACACAATAAACATTGATATTCGTTCTCTACTTATCATCATGCAGCTTCACTTCGTGGACAATCTCACACTTAATGACAGCTTCTTTAGATTTTTTTTTTATGGCGTTTTCTTGGTTGTAATATCTGATATTAGTTGTTTAATGTCTTGTATTGAAATACAAAGAAGAGTTTGGTTGAAGAGTCGTTTTTTCTAACTGGAATGATAGTCTATCTTGATTAATTCCTGTATACTCCATATTTTAATAATTGGTGTAGCAAGAGTTGCTATGTTTGGCACGTTTATTGCCCTGAGCTAGTTCGTTGTTATTCTTTGTTAGACAATGTTGCAAACTTTTGGATTCCCTGTACTTTGACTCATTGATAGATTTTTGCTTTGGTTATTTCTTACAAAAAAATCATCGACCCTAACAATGTTTTATCTGTCAATGATGGATACAAAGGTTTACATCTTCCCCGTTGATATTTAGACTTAACTGCGTTGGATTAAGTTACTAAACTCTGCAGTTTCCAAGGTATTATTTTTCTAGCTGTCTTCCATTTGACAGGCTAGTTTTACTGTTACATTAGAGATCTAGTATTTTTGAGTGCTAGATTGCTCTACAACTTCCTTTGCACCCTTGATGACTTTCAGCCCATCGGGAGTTGGGTAGTATATTAGAACCGTCTCCTGGTAGTCCTAGCTGCTATGTTTTTATTAAAATCCTGGATTATATAATTGGGTGTTCTTTGGTTGTTTTCTCACAATGCTTTGGCAGATGATCTTCAGGTTTGAGGGCAACTTACATCCTGGAAACGATATTTTAATGACGACTAATCTTTGATTATAACGAGCTCTATAAGATGGCTGATTCTGCAATAAAGACATGAATAAGGTGAGAGGGAGAGTATTTTTTTTTTAACAAGGTGAAAAGTGCGATAATAATGAATGAAACTTTTGCATGCTCACTATACTATTCATGATAATTACCACCTAAGAGTTTATCCATCAAAATTGGAGTCCCACAAAAATTGGCTCCAGGCTTCCTGAAAATTGTGAATTTTTTTATGACCGACCATCAAGCTGATGTCACCCTCTCTTAGTGCTTCATTTGTGCATATTTTTTGGCGGAGGAAACTATGAGAAGAAGAACTTTTTAAAACCATTGGTGGGGTCATTCAAATTCTATAAGACTGAAGAAGGATGGGGAATGATTATAAAAATTTGTTCTTTGTTTTATGTAAAAGCAGAGCTGAGCTCAGTTCGCTTGCGCTACACTAAGAACTACTTGCATGAATCATACCAAGTAGATTTTACCACTACTTGCATGAATCCTACTAAGTAGATTTTACCACTGTTCTGTGGTACCACCTCATTATTCACCTCTCCAGTAGCTACTTTGTTAATAGAACGGAAGTGTGTAGCAGCCTTCTGTTGCTGCTTATCCAAAACCAACCCCCTGATTTGAAACTAGTACATTAACAGTTATGCACAGGCATAACGACATAGGATGATCTATTAAACATATTGTTCTGAATCATTTTCTTACTACGTTTGACAACAGAGGACCAGTTCCTCACTTAGATGTATGGCTTCTGGACATTTTTTATCATAGGTCATAGTTGGTTTCGAATCGGAATGTTGTTGAACTCGTTGCCTTGATCGCATGCTTCATGCTTCCATCACCTGGTGAAAAAGCTATATTGCTCATGTGATATCATAATTATCTAGTCGAATTAGCCCATGCTTAGGATCACTGATTTTTCTTGAGTGGTCTAAAATCTAAGATACATAGATACATCACAACATGACGATGAGCTGAAAGACTTGTTATTTCTCAAACTATCAACGGCTCCAGTTCTACAATTATGGATGTCTAGAATTTCCATGATGATTCTGCATAAACCTTAGCATATCCCTTTAACGAGACTGCACTGTGAAGCTTATCGATGTAGTTCCTGAAACATATAGAATGCTTGCATGGTCTATATTGTGTTTCAGTAGTATTGAGCAGAACCTTCAACTAGGGAGAAATTAGGTGTGTGCTCACTGTATTCAACTATTGCCGAAGGAGGAAGCTTTCCAACGCTGATCTCGTGAACTGTGGTGAAAAGTGGAAATAACCCTTGCCATCCTCGGTGGCCAAGAACTTCATACACTTCTCTCGCTGTTGAGACACCCTTCAAGGAATTACAAGGGAAATTTAGTTTCTAATACAAACATCAGTGTAAGAATTTTTCTAGCCTCTTTGCCAAACACCAACTATACTATCTCATTTTCGTATGAAGACACAACTTCGAGCTTGTTTTGATTCATAGACGGATTGGAGAGAGAGAAGGCTTTTCTCAGTGACTATGAGGTGGTTCCTTTACTTGTGATAGATCCCTGTCATATCTTGGCAGTAGTTTGTTGTACTCATAATCAGAATACTAGTAGGGGAAGAAAAAGAAACATCATCAAATGGACTATGATATCAAAGGTTAAGATTTGAAGATTGATCCCTTCTAAAAAAGAGTTTTGCCGTAATGGTGCCCGGGATATGCACGGGATATATCTCTTTATCATTAGTGGTATTTACCTGTAGCTTTTGACCTTGCAATAGTTCTGCTTCTAGTTCATCAAAAGATCTGCATTAATTAGGGGGTTAAAAAAAATCAAATTAGTTCTTAAACGAGAAAGAAACCTCTATCTTAAACCAGTAAAAGCTAGGTAAAGTAAGAAAAATAGTAACCTTTTTCCGCCACTCCTTGCAAAAGCCTCTGCTACTTTCCTGTTTCTTCCTCCAACTGCAGCAAGAGAGAATGGTATAATGTTCGACACGATTATTTATTTACTCGTTCAGTTTAAGTACAATTGTCTTAGAATTAGAAGCTTGTTTCATACGGCATGTAGTGATCAAATCTGCCACTCCACAGCTCTCAAAAAAAGTGCTGTCTTTAACTGAAGAGAACAAAAGCTTCGAAAAAGCTCGCATCTCCCTCAAACCAATTCTCATTATTGCTGCCTGATATGCAATGGGCAATAGTTAGAGCAGACTCTTAAGAGTCCAAGTTTCACATTTTCTTGTGCATTCAAACCTTGGTGTTATTTCCCATCTCCAAGCCATCAACAAGACCTGCACAGCACAATATAATGTTCTTTTTCAGTATTTATATTTGTCAAGAAAGAAACTACTGCTTCCAAAAGAAAAAGGATAATGCCCAGAAACCTGCAGCTATTGCCACCACATTCTTCAATGTCCCACACAATTCTACTCCCTCCACATCTTGTACCTGCCAATATTTGCATAAAGGTGTATAAATATCATTATCAGAAAATTAGGTTCTTTTATGGAGTTTGGCAAGCTTCTCAGAGTACTTGACCAAGTTTTGCGACAGACGATATGCTAGTAAAAAGATTTAGGGGTGTAAGTACAGGGGGTTTTATCTACAATTAACCCAAACCTTATATGATAGTTTGCAGTTGATCATGCCATTTGAGCCTATTATAAGCAACAAATAGATCCTCTCTTCATGAACACGACTTTTTATGAACATGTAGATGGTTTTTTTAACAAAATTCACATACTCAAACTATAGAGATGATCATTTAGTGAAGGCTAAGAGAAGGCGCAACTCACAGCTGAGACAAGGAAGTAAGGGGTAGTGAACAGCGTAGCCCATCTCTGCGCTACTTCTTGGCTGTGTCTATATCCAACAGTTGCCTCACTGAACTTCTCCAAAGCTATCTGCATTATAAATCTCCAGTCTGATTCTTAGTAAGAAAGAACTAAGAAGAAAGTAGATAGAGTAATAATATAAGTTGCACGAATCCTTGCCTCATTAGCGATATTAGCACCCATAAGAACACAGCAGTTTATTCTAAGCATTTCTGTAATAAGTTTCGATATCATGCATGGTCCTTCTTTCTTAACCTCCATGCCCTTGATGAGTGAAATGGCCTCGGCATCTGGTCTTATCTTTCCTACAAGCCTTTTGCAGATGCCCTCCATGAACTGATGGGGAGTCACAAAGACCAGCATATTTGCTTCTTTAACTGAAAAGAGAAGAAATAAAAATGAAACATTTTTGGCAAACTTCACTTTTAGACGCTGATATGGAATTCTGAAAGTTTGATGTATCTTGTTTTGAATAATTTCAGGTTATATATCTTTATATATGATGAGGTAAAGTATCAACAAAATCTCACCTGAATGAATGTATTCTTCATTTTTTGCAAGTGTTATTGATTTCTTTGAAGTATCACTTGGTAATTGATAATTTCTGTTTAAATCAAGATACCTGCATTCTCAAGGTTGGGATCTGCTACCACATTTTTGCCAAGCTTTATCCCGGGCAAGTATTTGATATTCTCCTGTTCAAAAAATAACAATGGTAACCTGTGTAGCTAATGTGAACGTTCTTCATACAGACAAGGATAACTATAATGCCAACTCACGTTAATCTGATTGATTTTGTCCGTGAGTTTGTCACCAGTAGGCAGCACTTCTTCAAACACCCACATTCTTACTTCATCTGTAGATTAAAATCATGATAGTTGTCAAACGTCATTGCTATTATATTCTATCACTAACTAAACTTCAAACTTTTTCCAGAGTATGATCGCCAGCAATAATCTTATCAGGGAATCACTGTGTTCGACAAAAAACAGTATATGTTTCCCAAATGTCATGATTAAGTAGAATATATCTGTACACATGCTTGCTCACTTCATACATATTTCTCCGTAATCTTTTATCGGATTTATGATGCTGTTCATATATCCATATATTTATCAATTGAACTTTAGGTTGCTAGTAGTTAGATCCGCTGATGACTCTATGAGCTTATATGTCCGTTGTTTCAAGTGACGCATGTTTAACGCCTATTAAAGAAGAACAGGAAGTCTCTCTGCAACACATTGAAATATTAGGATATCTCTCTATAATACATTAATGTCACATGATATTCACATGGCAGGTACAAATAATACAAAAAACTGCGGTATGGACACGAGAACTCTAGGCGCTAATAAAGAACTTTTTGGGTAATAAGTGACTAACTTGCTACAGTGCAGGGGATGCATCTATTTTTAACTCATTTGAATGTTTTATTCTATGACAGATCAGTGGGACAATGCATGTTAACAAAACCTTTTACGTAACAATCTAAAATAAACAAAGCATGGCTGGAGGAGTACATATAGCTAACATTACCAATGGAAACAGACACAACACCACACAAATATGAACATGGTTCATGAATTCATCAAAAACTTTGACAATGAATTGTTGAACTTTGGAATACCAAATTCATTCATTTTCTTGAAGGTGAGAATGAAGGATTTACCATGAAACACAGATTGCTTGAGGGTGTTAGAAGCAATGAGCTTGGCCGCGACGCTGCCCCAGTTTCCGCTTCCAACAACTGTAACCCGAAATTTTGGATTCGTGACCTCGGCCTGAACTCCATCGACATTTTTGCCATCTTGGTTCATGTTAGAATTGTTAGCAAATGGTGCCATTGAAAGACCTCAAGAGGATCAGTTAGATTGATTCGGAAGAAAGAAAGGAGGAGAATGGAGAGGATAAAGGAGGATGGAAGTTATCAATGTTAAAGAGTCGGTGATAAAAATTGACGGAGTCCTCTATAAGTCTTGTATAATATTTTTGTGTGTTTTTTTGTTTGAGATAGCTGTTATTGGATGTTGACGCTGAGGTGGTTGGTTTCCACTAACTTTCAGGCATTAGGTTCGGACATGGTTCGATGCTTTTGAGGATGAAGAGAGTTGTGTTCTCAGTTGTCATAGATTGATTAATTTTATGTGAGATTTATATTGGATTTTAAGATTTGATTTTTTGTTGGATAGGGAA